GGACCCTTTGCCCAGTAGCCTTTACCCGGAGGTGGGGAGTTTTGGTTTCAGAGACAGTCTTTCCTTGAGTCTTACTCTCCTGTAGGGGATCCTGTATGGTATAGCTCTACCTCAAGAGGTGCGATCCCCATGTCCTGTCAGTCAAGTTAGTAATCAATAGGATAAAGGCATGAGGGAGAAAGGAGGCTGACCAATGGAATTTCATTCCCAGACCAGCCACTTAGCAGCTGGTTCAGACATGTTCCTTCATCTCTATGTGACAGGTATCATAATTCCTACTCATAAGATACATACAAGGTTAACTGTATGAATCACGAAGAGGGCACAGAACCATATTTGGTACCCATAGCAGGTGTTAAACGTTTGCCATGACTGGTGTTTCCATATTTCACCAATTCTAATATGGCCATTGGTTTTCATATTTTAGTAACCCTAAAAGTGAAATATGTTAGAGTTGATTGCATCTTAATATACATACATGAGGGGCTGGGGTTGTGGCTCAGAGGTAGAGCCTCGCCTAGCATGTGCAAGGCCCTGGGTTCGATCCTCAGCACCACATAAAAATAAATGAACAAAATAAAGATATTGTGTCCAACTACAACTAAAAAATAAATATTTTTTTAAAAAAGATACATTCATGATAACACTTTTTTTTTGGGGGGGGGATGGCAGTGGTATAACTGGTGGCATCTTAGATTCAGTGAATTCATGAGTTAATTTGGCGTGATACGCCTTCCTTCCCAGGATGTTGAGATGTCCGTCAAGATGTCAGTCATAAGTGAACTTAAGCACTGCTACGTGTTTGTATACAAAATGTGCACACTGAACTGGATTCTACCATAGAAAAATCACTGAGAGATAAGTTATTCCACTGTTCAGTCCTGGAAGGTTGTTTGTTAACTTTTTCCAAGGCACTGCTGGACTTCCTAGTAATGCAAATGACTTGACAGATCTCTGAAAGAGGAACAGTTGAATCTTCTTTCCTGTGTAGATTCAGAGCCATCATTATTGTAAGAGGGATTGCTCTCTAAAAATCCCTATGTGGCATCTATCTGATAAACACACCTTCAAGGACAAAGTCTTGGCTAGTATTTTAGTCTGTAAAAAAATGTGGGACTAGGGGGTTGTAGAAGCTGAGCTTAGGGTAAAGAAGTCAATGATTTCCAATGGACACAGTTTCAAAGTAAGTTTTTCCTTTTGATACACTGAAAGCGCTGCTTCCATCTGCTCCTCTGCTTACACACAGGCTCTGCTTCCTAACCAACCAGAGTGGCAGGTGTTGCCCACCAACTTCTGTACTTGATCTTCTGAGACTGATAACAATGCCATCTGAACAATATTAAGCTGTTAGATCATATTTAAATCATATTTCCCCACTAGTACCTATTGAAGACCTATTTATATTCCATCAGATTTTAGGAAGATTTGGCACATAAACTTATTAAATGTAAACTTTATGGAGCTGTATCAGAAAATATTTCCTGGTGTTCCTGGCCCCTTTAAAGAGATGGTCATAAATACCTTTGGAATATGAAAACCATTATGTGGAGTAATTTTAATTATCTCAAGTTATGCCCATCAGATTATTAACAAATAGACATTGAAAAAGCACTGCTAAATACCATCACGGAATAGGTACTTCTGGGTGAAACCACATAATTGATCGCTCAGAAACCTCATGAGTTTCTTTCTGACTTCCCCTTGGTCAGCATGTCAAAACTAGAGTGAAATACTGAAATGAAATATGAGACAATGAGGAAGGTCCTTGGGAATGAAGGACCCTGGAAAGATTTGCTCTTTCTAGTAACTTAATTTTGATCTATGGAGGAAGCCTTGTTTTCAGCACCCAACTAAATTTGCTTAGAGCCACCTGGGCGTCTTGAAATGGATCATATACTAGTCACACACATGTTATGGCTTTGTTGGGGCTTTTTATAACAGAAAACAGTATTGCTGGGCTTGGGGTGTAGCTCAGTGGTAGAGTGTGTGTTTAGCATATGCGCAGCCCTGGGTTAAATCCCTAGGAAAAGAA